ACTTCAACACTGATGGTGGATAGACTGAAAGAGGTTTTCATGTCTCCTAAATCACCATTGCGTAATGAGAAAAAAATGTCAGCGAAACCTTATCCAATGCTTCATGCAAAAGTAAAGATAACTGCTCAAGCAGCAAGAAAACCCAATCTAATGATTCTCGTTCTGCCGTTGAACAAAAAGATAAGATGATAGATACATTGTCATGTGAGGAACAGAACAACACTTCTGAAGAATGTGGTAGCAAGCAATCTCAGGGTTCCAAGAGGAAAGGTGATCTTGAGTTTGAGATGCAGTTGCAAATGGCTATGTCTGCAACTGAAGTTGCGACTCCTCAAAGTAACACAGGATCAGATTTGAAAGAATTAAATAGTAATTCATCCAACGTCTCTTCTCCATTTAAAAGAATCAGAACAATTGCAAATGAAGAATCTTCCTCCCAGGGAATCTCAACTGCTCTTGGATCCAGAAAAATAGGTTCTCCTCTTTATTGGGCAGAAGTATACTGCAGTGGAGAAAATCTGACTGGAAAGTGGGTCCATGTGGATGCTATACATGATATTGTAGATGGAGAGCAGAAGGTGGAAGCTGCAGCTGATGCTTGTAAAACATCTCTGAGATATGTAGTTGCTTTTGCTGGGCTTGGAGCTAAAGATGTGACTCGCAGGTTTTGCATCCTCTGAATTCTTGTTTGTTCCAAATATATTTGGTAATTCTAAATAAAATCGCATTTTAGTCCAGGCATACAGGGCAGTAATTATGATTTTTCAGTTTCCAATTGCTAGAGTCAAAATATGTTTGCTCAAGTCATTAGTTCTTAGTATGGCTCATTAGCAAGATGTGAAGAGGAGACCTAGCACAACTCTCTTCCTTTTCCAGTTGAGCTATAGTGCCAAGAGTGCTCCATTTTTACATTAAGCATGATGCACCTTTTTATTTTCTCCAATGAGATATTGCTCTTGGAATCTTCATGTTCTTATAGTGCATGTCATGTGGGACACCTTGATTCCATGAGATTTTTTTCGCTTCCAGTGATTGTCTGTAAAATTTTCCTTGGTGTTCTACTTATAAACAGGACAAGTAGAATGCACACTTAAATTATGTAAATGTTTGTTTGAAGCATCTTATTGATTACGCTCTGATTCACTGAATACTGTTAGAGGGTAATATAAAATCATTCTTAAGGCCTCACTCAACTGTTTAAGCTTTTGGATTGAGAGAGTTCTTTGACATGGTATTGGAACCTTGATGACCAAACGGTCACGAGTTGAATCTTATCACCCCCACTTTGTTTGTAATTAAAATTAAATAATTAAGCACAAGGTAGCGATGGGTATGTGCAAGTTTCAACCCCAAAAGACTTTCACTTGAGGGTTGTGTTAGAGAGTAATGCAAAATCATTTTTAAGGCCTCACCCAACAACTTAAGCTTTTGGGTTGAGATGGTTCTTTTACAAAAAGTTCAATATATTCTCCAATTTTCTACTCGTTTTGAAAATCCTGCTAATGAAAACAACACTTGTGGAATAGCTTTAAGAGATGTTGGTCCCAACTCATCTTTCTACCCATATATATTACATACAATCATAATGCAGGTACTGTATGAAGTGGTACAAGATAGCATCACAAAGAATTAACTCGCATTGGTGGGATACGGTATTGGCCCCACTGAGAGAGTTAGAATCAGGAGCAACTGGAGGTATGGCACTTTTGGAAAATCCCCATGTTGATGCCTCAAATGAACATGAAAATGTAATAGCGTCAGGAGTGTCTGATCATCCAATGCCTAATGAACTTCCAAACAATGTTGACTTGCCTAAAGAATCTGGGAGGAAGAATGATGTACAATCTTCAGGCGGGAATTCTTTTGCAACTCCTAGAAACGTTATTGAGGATATGGAATTGGAAACTAGGGCACTAACTGAGCCTCTTCCCACTAACCAGCAGGTATATTGCTATCTATTAAAATTATCTCAAAGGTTACTTTGCAAATTCTTGTTCTGTAGAACCCTTTTTCTTTGTGCAGGCCTACAGAAATCATCCGCTATATGCTATTGAAAAATGGCTTACAAAGTGTCAGATACTTCATCCCAAGGGTCCTATCCTGGGCTTTTGTTCTGGACATCCTGTTTATCCTCGTGCTTGTGTGCAAACACTCAGAACAAAAGAGAGATGGCTGCGTGAAGGGCTGCAAGTTAAAGCCAACGAACTTCCGGCTAAGGTCTGGTTTGGCAATGTAAATGTATTGTACATCTGTTCTCTTATTAGATGGTTGAGTTTTCTATTTCAATTCATTCACATAGATAGCATATCTCCTACAGGTAGTGAAGCAATCTGGAAAGCCTAAGAAAGTGCAATTTTCCGAAGATGATGATTATGGTGAGACTGATTCCAAAGGAATTATTGAACTTTATGGAATGTGGCAGCTAGAACCCTTGCAACTTCCCCATGCTGTAAATGGGATTGTTCCAAAGGTGAGTTCCTAGTATTCCTAGTGATATCTTTAGCCTTCTAAGACTGCTTGTGAATGCTATGTACAATTTCATATGTAGTTTAATTGACAATGAGATTAGAAGACATAACTCATTTGGTTGATCCTTTTTTCTTTTATGTATATGAAACTATATTTTTACTGATTCCTCAATTTGAATCTGAATTCAGAATGAACGAGGTCAAGTTGATGTGTGGTCTGAGAGATGCCTGCCGGTGGGGACTATGCACTTAAGATTGCCAAGGGTATTTTATGTTGCCAAGAGATTGGAAATTGACTATGCACCTGCCATGGTTGGTTTTGAATTTAGAAATGGTAGATCTTTTCCGGTCTTTGATGGTATTGTTGTGTGCAACGAGTTCAAGGATGCAATATTAGAGGTAAATAGTTTGAAACTTTTCGAAATGGTGTGTTGATTTTTTAATGATTAGTAATTTAGTATGATCTTGAAACACCCTCCCCCCCCCCCTCTCTTTTTGTTATATCGCTTATACTTCACAATTATGATGCCTCTCTCTTTCCCTCTGCACCTCCTAAGACATATGGTTCTTTACCTTCACTCAAAATTTTGAAGGAAAATGGTGTAACAAGTCGATTGTTGCTTGAACTTATTCTAAGTTGTTTTTCTGTTTCTTCAGTATGTTCTTTACACCGCCTGCATGCAAAGTATTTTTTCTTAGCATGTTTTCTGACTTCCATTCAAGATGTCCTGGTGTCTTCCAACTGTTGTCACATCTTTTGCTTTTTCCTTCCCTTAAACTCATTCGAGCAATTTGTTTTTAAGCCAGAAATTTGTTGGTACTTGTTCTCCAGGCATATGCTGAAGAAGAAGAGAGAAGAGAGGCTGAAGAGAAGAGAAGAAATGAAGCACAAGCTATTTCTAGGTGGTATCAACTTCTTTCATCAATCATAACCAGACAAAGGCTGAACAACTCTTATGGGAACGGTTCGACGTCACAAATGCCAAGCAATTTCCAAAATGCAAATATCCAGCCGGATGTGCATGTTGGTAGTCAGCGCAATACGCAACCTTCAGGACGCCAAAAAGATGTAAAGGATCATAAATTAAATGCTCCATCAGTGACACTAACAGATGATCATGAGCATGTGTTTTTGGTAGAGGATCAGAGTTTTGATGAGGAGACCTCGACAAAGACAAAGCGGTGTCACTGTGGATTTTCAGTCCAAGTAGAGGAATTGTAGTAGCATTGCTGATGAGAGACCTTTGCGCTTGGAATGAAGCATGATGATCTACTGTCAATCCCACACTTCTTCAAGTACCAACCTTTGGAATATGCTACAACCCCAGGTGGCGAAGAGCGAACACTGGAATTAATATTTTAATTTTGTCAGGAAGTGAAGCCCCTTGGATTAGATTGTAGGACACAATGCAAAGTAATGTGGTGTAGTTAACTGTTTCCCCCTCCCCCACAAATAGTACTTGTTGTATGTACAGAGAGCAGCTCCTGTACAGTTTGGCGCAGAGAAAATTTAACAGCTCTATCCTTCTTGTGTTGAAAATTTGCAAAAGCTCTGTTCTTTTCATTACCATACGATGTATAACGATGAAAATTCAGGTATGCTATGTGTATGATTGAGTGTTGCGGCTTTTTTTTTTTTTTTGTGTATGTGGTTATCTCAATTAAGAGAATTTTGTACAAAAGAATTGAAAAATGATTGGATGGTGGTCTGTAGCACTCTACTTATTATTAGACTTTAATTCAATAAAACCTTCAAACTAAGTACAAGGGTTCCTTGAGTAAGAACTCTTGTATTATCACTTCAATTCAATGAATTTCAATTCGTTGAGCCTTTCGATACAATTAAATAGACAGCCTCTAGGGCTCCACTCCTTACTCAAGTTCCCAATGAAGATCAAGCAACGTTTCATTGATTCATTTTTTTTTTTTTTAAAGAATTCTAAATTCTTTATTCATGGTTACGGGACGCAAAAATAGTATTTCAAGTTTCATTATCTGTACAAAGTCTTTTTGTTTTTCTTGGCATCAGTTATGTCGGCACAAATCTTTTTGGTTCTTAAAAAAAAAAAAACAGTTTGAGAAGGTTTAGTTTATTTCTAGATTGTGAGTATCTTCTATGCAAAAATATTCAATTTTCATAAGTTCTTCTTGACTGTTCTTCAAAAGGTTCCACGATGTATGCATATTTGACTTTTTTGAGCAATTATAAACCTTAGGAGCCAATTTTAATCTGTCAATAAAACCAAATCCAATTCTCTCTCCATATGTTTATCAAAAAGAGGTCTTGGCTAAATTGACAAACAAGAGAGGCGGATAATAAACAATTACAAATTTCATCATATTGTACTCTTCAACGAGCAACTCTTTTCAAAATCTCAAGAGATACCGAGTTGAAATCTCATTATAACTAAGGTTAAAGTTAAACTATTTGAAATCTAAACATGGTAGGTTAGTCTTTCTACTAGTATGTTAATACATAAATAAAAAGATTCAAGATGAATTATTAGAAATTGTTTTCGATATAGAATACTCATGTCGAAAAAGGATTTGAACCTTCGCTCCCCGAATGGAACATTTAGAGGAGCTCCTATGTCAATAATTTCTATTCCTTTTGTTAAACCATCTATAGAGGCATTGGTTTGGTTAAGAGAATATGCTTTAATATTTATTTTAATGATGTTTTTGGTGTTTTTTTATACAATAAATTAGATTAAAGGAACTAAAAAACAATTTCCAAATCACAACTCGATCTTGGTTGTAAGTTCATAGTTTGTCTAGAAAAGTTACAAGACTAATGATTAACGAGTTGTGATCATTTTAATTCAATAGTTATTGTACTATCAACTCTTGAATTAAACAACAACCATGCAATTGAAAGTAGGATTATAGACTTTAACAAAATGCAAGAATTCTTTTTTTTTTTTTTTTTTACAAAAAGAAGAAGTTATATTCATTGATGAAAAATTATACGTACAATCTCTAACGCTTTCTTTAAACATGATATTCATGTATGAGTTCAATGCTTAGAAAATGATTAAGAGCTTATAGGCACAAATTGAATTACAAGGAAGATCAAGTAACCAAACTACCAACCTAAAATATCACTATCCCGAATTGTGTGAAAGTGCTCCGAGAGTTGCTTGTGGTGTGCAAGTGTTGTTGAGTTTTGATTTGTGTTATTGTATGTTCTTCTCTTATTACAACTTGTAATGCATATCAGTCCTTTCATAAATCTTTGTAATACTTTACTTTTTTTCGCAACTCGTTTACATTGTTTTGTAATGATTTACGTTTTTCCGCAACTGTCGTTGTCTTTTTTTTGGTTATTATCACACTCCATTTATACCCACTCTCTTCTTGGTTGTTAGGACAATCAAATCAAAGTCATCTTCTCATTCAAAGATTAGTAATGCAAATTATATTTTTTAACTAACTTTAAGAGTTCATGATCCACAAATTTCTGATCAAAAAGATATTAATTCCTCAATTTTCTTATAGATTTTTCTTCGACAATCCAATTCATTAAGCTTGCAGGCCTAGACTAAATTTGGATTTAACATCAATCAACTGCAAAAATACATTTTTGTTCTTGGAGAAAAATACTTTGCTCCAATAAGTGACAATACAACACCATTAGTTGACGATCTATTTGTTTCTTCTTTTTTTTTTTTTTTTTTTTTAGGTTTACTATCGTAGTTAATCTCGAGCTAGCTTTCGTATACTGAGATTAAATTTCTCTTTAATTTGGTAATAACAAGCTATTCATAATGAGATTAAGAAAATTATGTGAATTTAGTTATTATATTTTGACTTGAAATTTGAACTTGATAGTTAAGATAGTAGCATACTGCATACCCATTAACCATCTGACCAATCTCTCTCTTTTTTCTTTTTTCTTCAAGCTTGAAGCTTCTAGGATTTCAATGCTACTCAAGTCTCCTCCAATCTATTCTGAAAATATCCTCTTTTTTCTATCTAATATTTCTCGACAACAAACTACTACAAAGACATCGGTATCCCATTTTGTCATAGCTCGTGTTCAACAAATAGACCTCGGTCATTGACTTGCAAAATCTTACAGAAATTTTAACCTTGCAAGCTAGTGGGTTTGGATATCATTCTTCTAGTTAAGTACAAATTCATTTCATTTTTTTCAGACAAATACGATTTAGATGGAGTTTGGTACAGTTTAGTTGACCTTTCAAGCTACCATGACAAAACTACCTACATTTTCCCTAGCGATTGGTCATTGAAGGTTTCAAAGATGGAAGAGTCAATGCAAATCTACTGTGGCTAGATTCATGTATGAATAATAATCTCTCGGTGGGTAATTGTAGGATTAAAATTAGTCTAGTGTTACATTGAAAGAGTCTGTTTTTTTTGTATTTTTAATCTCTTAACATGATTTTTTTAGACAAAATACATTATCTTATAAAATTATTTTGATTTTATAATACATGAAATCGCATATAAATCACGTTTAGTTTTTAAATTTTTTCTACATTTAAATCTCATATTTTTAATTTTTTTACTTAAATTTTTTTATTTTTTGAAATTTTTTGTTTCAAATCTTCTGTTATAACGTCGTCAATCAATAATCGATATCATATGTAATATTATAAAATAAAAAATTTCAAAAAGGAAAAAAATATATGTCAATTATTATTATAACAAAAGTTGTGAACAAAAAAATCTTGAAAATATAGAATCTCATTCAATTCAAGTAAAAACAAATTCTATATATATATATATATATATATATATATATATATTTTTATTTTTTATTTTATTTTTATTTTTTGATGACTAACTCGTCCAAATATGAATAAATCCTTTAATTTTTCAGATATCGGATATCAGGATGAGACATATATTCCACAGATACCGCACACCTACCCCTAACAGGACATCAGGTAGCCCCCACAACAGGACTTGACTCTTTGGGACCGAACTACAACAGATATAGATTTGCCTAGGTCAAGGTCCATCTCTTCTTGGCTCCAATTCTTTTTGAAATTTCGCAGCAGGAAGGAGGAAAGCGTGCGTTTCATAAATACCTTCCTGCTAAGGATCTTGTTTTCAAGCCTCTTCCTGGTAACGAAGAAAAAAAGTATTGGCCCTGTGGATTTGATCGAACACCATTAGGAACAGGATCCGAATTCCTAATTTCCTCGCAGGTGGCAAAACGGAACATGTCTAATCAGATCTCCACATGAACTGAAACCACTGTCTCCAAGCTCAATATTCATCCCTGTCAGCAAGAAATCACATTCCACTGTCTTGGCCCAGCTTCAAAACTGATCCCCTGTCTCCTTCTATCATTGCGTGCGTGTAACCCGCATGGAATCACCAATCAGAAATCATTAATACAAGTGTGGGACAAAGTGTCTACTCAACGAAGACAAATAGACCAAGAGATTGGTAGCCATGAAACAATGGCCACTTAGTTTGTACGGACAAGTCTTGTCGAAAGAAAAGCACCCTAGATCCCCGTACGTGGTTCTAAGCCAATCCAGGAGATACCATTCACCTCCACTTGTCAGAATCTATTACGGTTAACCAATTCCCGAAAGTTCCTGTTTTGTCCAGAATACTCTGTTGGAAGAAAAGATCAAACCCCTTTGTCCATGTTATAACGATAAATCTTTCAGCTTGTAAAGTCTCATGAAACCAAGAACGCCCATTTTCCACGTCTCCGAGAAGAACTATCATATAACATTATTCAGCAATTTTCAAAAAGAGAAAAAAGACAGGAATATGCTTCTTTCTTGCATCACGAACGTTGTTGTCAAACTATGTTGTCCAAGGTTTTGAAATTTCAGTAACTTGTCTGAGAGTCGCAATCAGTTAAATTGACTCATAATTTCGGACAAGATTCTACTCTTTCCAGCAGAGGACAAATACAGCTAAGAAGAAAATGATTCATAGGACCAAATTTCAGAAGACTGGGCAACGGTTTTCTCAGTCAAGATTCAAGCAGAGTAACACTAAGAAAAACATGCAATTACATGCACAAGAACACGCGGGAAAACTAAAATCATCCAATTATACAAGAAGTGACGCAGTTACATGCACGAGAACACGCGATGTTACCATACTAAGAACACACACCACTGTGAACAACTAAGAACACACACAACTGCCCAATTCCACAGACATGTTGAAACAACATAGTCCGTCTACTACCACTACTGGAACGAGATGATGCCTAATTCTGAACACTCACTTCAGTCATAGCAGCAGCCTTCACCTTTGGAGGCCGACCCCTTGGCCTTCCACTACCTGCTGTCATTGGCACTGCTGAGGTTGTTGTTGCAGCTCCGGTCATTCCTCCTGTGGGCCGAGCCATTTTGCGTGGCCTCCCTCTCGGTTTTCCACTTCCCCCAGTTGCTGCCTTTGGCTTCACTGGCTTCGGAGGTGCATTTGGATCCTTTGGCGGACGACCCCTCGGTCTGGCAGGGGCCAGATCTGCGCCTGTTGGTAATGGGTCCTTGGGCTTAGGGGGCCTACCCCGACCACGCCTTGGAGGAGCATTGGGATCTGGTTTCATGTAGTTGTTTTTCCAGAATATTATCTCTCCCATATCCTTCATTCGATTGAGATGGTGTGCAAGGAGTGCAGTGTGGCCAGCCGGCAAGTCCCCATATTTTGATTCAATGTATTTCGATATTGATGTCTTGTTAGAGCCACCTGCCTCATTCAATGCTGTAATGGCTGACAAAATCATCTGAGAACAATTGAAAAGATCAATCAAAATTAAAAAAAAAAAAAAATGTTTCCTTGCAAAAACAACCAAAAAGTATATATGCTACAAACATGATGAAATTTGAAAGCTTATCTTTGAATGCAATGCGAGCAATTAAGACCTCAGAAATGGGTTTCCTTTGGATTTTTTAACTCAACCTTTTTTTCAATAACTACAAAAACATGGATTAAATGAGCTAAAAACTAACGAGAAAATGCAAATGAAAGATACAGAACATCCCTGATCCATTTTCTTGGAAAGTACAGGCATAGAATACTAGCAGTTAAAATTAAAGAAATTCAAATGCATTGAATCCCAATAGTGATAAGGAAAGTGCAGGATGAGGATTACATGAAAATGGCTTTATCTTAAATTTTTCAAAAATTCCCGATCTTCTTAATAAATAGTTAAGCACATATACACTGGAAATTTAACCACGATGCTTCAATTGCCTGCTAAAATTCATCTCAATAACACCAAACTGAAAGACTTTTTTTTTTCCAAGTAGAAAAAGTACTGCTCAGAGTTTCTGCATATATATATATATATATATATATATATATAAACATGGAAAATACAGTCAAATTTTTTTTCCTTAACATATATAAACTTTCTATTCAATAACCCAAAATTGAGCATAAGTAGCATCAACTGAGTCAGCAAAAACCAAGCCTAAAAAGGGGGAAAACCAATTCAGGCTTTGATTTTTAAATAGCATAAACCAAGTATATGAAAATCAAAACCAAAAAAAAAAAAAAAAAAAAGAGACCCTTTTATCATAACAAAATGTGGATGATGATTTAAAGAAAAATGAATTTCCCTAGAAATTTCCTCTTTTTTCCCCTTTAATCGGAAATTTAAGCGGTACTAGCAGGAAAAAAAAAAAACCCACAAACAAAGCTAAAGAAAAAACAAACTCAATCAAAAAAAAAAAATTGATCTTCATCATCTTCCACAGAGAATCCATTTCAAGCACCAACTCCAACAAATTCTAAAAAAAAGAAAAAAAAAAAACTCAGTGAAGTAAGCTAAGCAATGAAATATGAAAACTAAAGATCAACAAGAACAGAAAAATATAGAAACTTTTCCCCTTTTAAAAATTATTTTTAGAGGAAAGGAAAATCGTTTGTGAAGTTAAGTACCTCAGGATAAGGAGGGAGGGATGGAGGCCTATGAATCTCCTCAGTTGCCATTAAATTTCCAACAAAATAAAGAGACAGAAAGAGAAAGTTCGAAACTTTAAAGTCCAAACTCTTCACCGAAGTGAACTGAGTGAGTCCCCACAAAACAAGCTCTAACAACAACAACTGCTTTGTTTCAAAATCTTGCAAGGAATCACTGTTTCTTGATCTATTTTGTTAAAAAGGATAGGCAACAAGGGTTTTTATTTTTTTATTATTTTTTTCTTTATTTTTGGGTTAGGGGAGGAAATGGATGGATGGCTAGGATTGTTTAAGGGATGATGATCTAATGGATGAGAACGTGTCATAAGGATCTACCTTAGATTGATGAAGTGGCATGCCGTGAATATTTGTCATATTTCTTATTTTTTGAAATTACTTGTTTATCCATTGTTTGAGATGGTTTTTTATTTTGTTATCATCATCATCATCATCATCTTGGCATGGACAATGGGCCTCTTGTACTAAAGAAAGATGTAGAATGGAATGGTCCCCTACGTTCCCTAAAAACAACGGCGAGAATCTAACATTTTTGTACTTTTTTTTTTGTTCAAAACTTTTTCTTTTTAATAAACTAATATGGTTAGGTATCTAAAGATTTTTTCCATGGCACACTTTAATCCTTGTGTTTTTCAAATCCCAAACTTTTGTTTATGAGAGTTCAAATGCATTAAAGTTTAGTCTTGTAGTTTGCAAAACTTACATTTTAGCCCATTAAGTTTTAGTGCAAGCAATCATTCGAGGACTAATATGTAAGTTTTAAAATGAAGAGAGTTATTTGGAACCTTTACATTTTCATTTTAACTTTATAAGATTTATAAGATCACCAGTTTTATCTTTATGTTTTTGAAAAGTTAACATTTCAATATAAGGATAAAAATTTGTAATCCTAAAAAAAGTGAGTAAATTATTCATAATTTTATCTTGTTATTTATTTATTATATATATATAATTCTTATTTATTTATTTTTTTTTTGGATTTTTTAGGGTATCACGTGTTCTAAGATTCAAACTAATTTCTCGCTATTCCGTTAGGTGCACAAAGTAGGGAAGCTATCAAGAAAATCTTTTGCATGTACAAGAACACAAATTCAAGATTATTTACTTAAACAACTATAATTTTTTTTTTTTTTACTTAAGCCAACCTTTTGGGATGTTAAAAATTCTTATTTATTTCAAGTTTTCAACAAAAATCTATCATTTTTTTTGGCTTTAAACAAATACTTTAATTAACATTATAAAGCAATTCCATCAATACGTTTGCTGTCAATTGAATTTATTTCATCAAATGTATATGTTTTTCACGTAACAAAATAAATAAAGCACAACCCTTCCTCCGGATGTCTAACCATAGGAATTATCTAGGGCAGGTTCACCTAGATGAAGAACAAGGTGTCCGAGCGAAGGGGGTGAGCCGATGGGAGTTGACCATGTCCACTTACAAGAGAACAAAGCGTCCTTCAACAAATGTTTATAAATATTGTCACACATGAATGAATAAAATAAGACTAAATATCATTACAAGAGATACGATTATATGCTCTGCATAGACTTAAAAGATGTTATTAAAACAATAGCTTTCGGCAGTCTTGTCTGAATACGAGCCAAAAAATCAACATACCCATGATATTTATGAGTGTTTTTTCTTTTGGAATATATACATGCCTTGAGAGTTCAATGAGAGGAAATTTTCTTATTCTCTCTAGTAAATACACATACTCGAAAATAATATTTTCTACTATAAGCTAACTTAAGTTTTGGAGAATCTCCTATATGTAGAAATTTCTTTATTTTACAGGTCTATATTATTGCCAAGTTAGTCAGAAATTGCCATATTAAACGCTCAAGTTATTGATATAAGTGGGAGTTAACCATGCTTACCTGCTAAAGAATAAATTACTTATAAACTAAAACGAGTAATTGGTTTTACTTGTTCGAATGGACGAGTAACCATCACGTGATATTGTTCACTTGAACAGCTTTTTTTTTTTTAAATCAATCTTAGTTTTTCTTTCCTTTCTTTTTTAATTTTCACTATTACTTATTTTATTATTTTCTTAATTTTTTTTAAATTATTTAGTTTATATTTTCTTTAATTTTCACCCTTAGTTTTTTTCTTAGGTTTTTCTAAAATTTTCAAATTATTTCATTTTGATCTCTAAAATTTTAAAATAAAAATTTTAATCCCTAGTTTATTCACAATGTCTTCTTCTTCTTCTTCTTTTTTCCTCATCAATTTATGTTCCTTTTTTTATTTGATTGAGTGTTAAAATTTTTAAAAATCTATCGTTATTTTTTTTCACACATGTTGATGATTTACTTTGCCCTCACACTATACTATTCAATCTTAGTTTTTTTTTTCTATTTTTTTTAAAATTTCACTATTACTTTTTTCTTATTATTTTTTTATTTCTTACTCTTATAGTTTAAAATTTATTTCTTCAATTATTTGTTTCTTATTGAAATTCTAATCAAATTAATTTTTTGATATAGTTTTATGTGTTCATAAATTTGGTTTTCTAATATATGAATTTTAGAATAAAATTTTAGATCGTCGTTGTTTTTTTTAAAATATATTATTATAATTATATAATAATTTATTTTTATACTTTTTAAATGAGTGTTTTATTTTTTAAAATATATTATTATAATTTATAAATTCTAATTATATATATATATAGAGAGAGAGAGAGAGAGAGAGAGTATATTTTAAATATTTTAGCTTAATTTCTTAAAAAAATTAATAATCGATCAAAAAACTCATAAGTTTTATTTGTTATCTTATATATATTTATTCAAAATTTATTATAATCAATTTCATTATAGTTTTTATTTTAATTTATTGACTTCAATATATTTCATACAATTTAACGAGCCCTGGTCTTTTTTTTTTCATATATATATATTATCATGAAATTAGGTGTAAAAAATATAGAAAATAAATTTTTATTTTTTTTTAGTTTTACGTACGGTTTAAAGATGATAAAATATATATGATATTTTTTAGTATTTTAGTTTGAACATATATATTTGATTACGTTACTCTTATTGTTTAAAATTTATTTCTTTAATTATTTTTTTCTTATTAAAATTATCATCAAATTAATTTTTTGATATAATTTTATTTGTTAATAATTTTTTTAATATATGAATTTTGGAATAAAATTTTAAAACATTTGTGTTTTTATATTTTAAAAATATATTATTATAATTTATAAATTCGATTTTATATATATATATATATATATATATATATATATATATATATATATGAGAGAGAGAGAGAGAGAGAGAGAGAGAGAGAGATAAGTAATTTTTAGATAGTTTGGCTCAATTTTTTTTAAAAAATTCACATGTTATATATATATATATATATATATATATATATATATATATATATATATATATATATATATATTCGAATTTATCGAATAATTTCGTTTTAGTTTTTTTTTTAAATCAATTTTGTTGTAGTTTTTTTTAGTCCATTGACTTCAATATACTTCATACAATTTAAGTGGGTTTTTTTTGTATATTTTTTTATTTATTCTCTATACTCCGAATCGTTAGGTATGATATATATAGAGTTTTATTAGAAATTAACTATAGATCCGCATACATAACACCAATTCTTTATTATTTATTTTTTATATTCTAAAATTTATTTTTTAAAATAAATAAGTTATATAATATTTTGAAAGGACTTTCCAATTATTCAAATATAAATTTTTATGCTAATATTATTAAATATTTTGCCGATAACTATATATATAAATCAAGCGATTTCGCTCAATATATAGATTTGATTTACATTGATTATCGAAATAAAAATTTTACTCATAGTAGTTAACACTACGTATATAAATGATATTCAACCGTAGCGTAGCGCTTGTACCAATCTAGTTGTATGTCTAAAATAAATGCTCACAAATGTCAAGTCACATGGTAATGTAAAAACAAGGTTAGATGTCATCATAAGAGACAAATCTCATATTATCTCGCTGAACAAAAAACCTAAAAGATCCCACTAAACTATAGTTTCTCGACGATTTTATTGGTTTGAATATGAGCAAAAAGACCAACATGTCCATGACATGTATCCTTCTTTTTTTTTTTTTTTTTTAGCTTAAAGAGCATATACATGCTTTGAGAGCTCAACAAGGAGGGGACTTTTTTATTTTCTCCACTACACATACATCCTCAAGAACGATCCTTTCTACTATAAACTAATTTAAGTATTGGAGGATCTTCTAACTATAGAAGTGACTTCTTTATTTTCTAGGTCTATATTATCTCCAAATTAATTAGAAATTACCACATTATACGCTCAAGTTATTAGTATCGATGGAAGTTATCCTTGTGAACTTACAAGAGAGCAAATCATACATATACAATAAATGCTCATAAATATGAAATTACACAATAAGGTAAAATAAGGTTAGATGTCCTCATATGTGACATAATTTATATTATATGCGAACGGTTTCGTAAAAGACCTAAAAAATCCCATTTAATTATAACTTCTAATGATTTTGTTAAACTAAATATGAGTAAAAAGACTAATATGTCCATGATTTATATCGATCCTCCTTTGAGCTTAAAGAGTATATACATGCTTGGAGAGCTCAATGGGGGAAGGGACTTCTTTATTTTCTCCATTACATACATATCCTCAAGAATGATCATGTTTATAATAAATTAAGTATTAGAGGATCTCTTACTTGAAGAAATGACTTCTTTATTTTACGAGTCTATATTATTACTAAATTAGCTAGAAATTACCATAATAGACGCTCGAGTCATCGGTATCAATAGAAGTTGTCCATGTCAACTTATTAAAAAATAAATCTTATGTCTACAATAAATGCTCATAAATATCAAATCACACAATTGTTGCTACCCGACGTCGGACGGACTCCCAAAAAATAAAATCCGATTGTATCACTAGTTTCGCATTTTTATTTTATTTACAAAACTATTTGTAGAGTTTGGAGTCGTCACCTAGTATTGAA